CCAATCAAAACCCTCAAAAACTAAGCAAACTGAATAACAGGAAATCACCAATACCTGTCAATACTAACACTTAATGTTATTGCCCAATTCCCCCATCAAAAGGCAATGTTGGAACAGAACTGGATTAAAAAAGGAGATCCAACAATTTGTTGCTTACAGGAGACCCATCTCCTCAATAGAAATAAGCATAGGCTTAGGATGAAAGGCTGGAAGAAGATTTACCAAACCAATGGCCCTGAAAACAGGTAGGAGTAGCATACTTACCTCAGACAAAGTAGACTCAACTACATTGATCAAATGAAGTAAAGAAGACATCCCATACTAATAAAAGGGGAAAATAGACAACAAGGAAATAACAATTATCAACCTATATGCACAATATCAATGCCCAATTACATCAAACATACTTTGAAGGACCTGAAAGCATATATTACTCCAACAAAGTGGTCATGGGAGACTTTAACACCCTGCTATCATCAATAGATAGGTCATCCAAACAAAAAATTAATAAAGAAAATCCAGATCTAAAACATACCATAGATCAAAATGGAACTAGTTGAGGTTTACAGAACATTTCAACCAACTTCTACACAATAATTCTTCTCAGCAGCCTACAGAACTTCTCCAAAATAGATCATATCCTAGGGCATAAGCAAGCCTCAGCAAATATAAGAAAATAGAAATTATACCATGGATTCTATCTGATACAATGCAATAAAATTAAAACTCAACAACAAATATAAAAAGACAAAAAAACATGCAACAGCTGGAAACTGAATAACTCATTGCTTAATGAACAATGGGTCATTGTTTATATAAAAGAGGAAATTGAAAGGTTCCTGGAAGTCAATGAAAATGCAAACACAACCTACAGAACATAGGGACTACAGCAAAGGCAGTCCTGAGAGGAAAAGTTTATAAGCATGAATGCATGTATTAAAAAGATTGAAAGATCTCAAATCAATGACCTAATGCTACATCTCAACTCTTAGAAAAACAAGAAGAAGCAAATCCCAAAACAAATAGAAGGAGAGAAAAAATAAAAGTAAGAGCTGAAATCAATGAAATAGAAACAAAAAAACTATACAAAGAATTAATGAAACAAAAACTTAGTTCTTTGAAAAAATAAACAAGATCAATAGACCCCCTAGGCAAACCTGACTAAAATGAGGAAGAAAACCCAAATTAGTAAGATCAGGAATGCAAAAGGGGAGATAACAACAAACACCATGGAAATCAGGAAATCCTCAGAGACTACGTTGAGAACCTATTTCAAATAAATTTGAAAATCTGAGAAATTGACAGATTTCTAGATACTTATATCATCCATAACTGAACCAAGAGGAAATTAATCACCTGAATAGATCTATAACACAAAATGAAATTGAAGCAGCAATCAAGATCTCCCAAAATGAAAAGTCCAGGACCTGATGGAATTCTCTGCTGAATTCTATCAGACCATTAAAGAAGAACTAATACCAACTCTCCTTAACTGTATCATGAAATAGAAAGGGAAGGAAAACTGCCTAACACATTTTATGAAGTCAGTATTACACTTATCCCAAAACCAGGCAAAGACACCTACAAAAAGGAGAAATATAGGCCAATCTCCTTAATGAACATCTATGCAAAAATCCTAAATAAAATAATGGCAAACTGAATTCAACAACACCTCAAAAAGATCATTCACCACAACCAAGTAGGCTTTATCCCAGGAATGCAGGTGTGGTTCAACATATGAAAATCAATAAATGCAATACACCACATTAACAGAAGCAAAGAGAAAGAACACGTGACCATCTCAATAGATGCAGAAAAAGCCTTTTATAAGATCAAACAACATTTCATGATAAAATCTCTAAGAAACTAGGAAATAGAAAGGAAACTACCTCAACATTATAAAGCTATACATGACAAACCCAGAGCATTATACTTACAGTGAAAAACTGAAAACCATTCCCTCAAAATCAGGTACCAGAAAAGGATGCCCACTATCTCCACTCCTATTCAACATAGTCCTAGAATTCCTAGCCAGAACAATTAGGCAAGAATAAGGAATAAAAGGAATACAAATAGGTAAAGAAACTGTCAATATATCCCTATTTGCAGATGATATGATCCTATACCTTAAAGACCCAAAAAACTCTACTCAAACACTCCTAGACACCATCAACAACTATAGTAAGGTAGCAGGATATAAAACCAACATAGAAAAAACATTAGCATTTCTATACACTAATAATGAACAAACTGAGAAAGAATATATGAAAATAATTCCATTTACAATAGCCTCAAAAGAAATCAAATACCTAGGTGTAAACTTAACAAAGGATGTGAATGACCTCTATAAGGAAAACTATAAACTTCTGATGAAAGAGATTGAGGAGGACTATAGAAAGTAGAGAGATCTCCCATGCTCATGGATTGGTAGAATCAACATAGTAAAAATGTCTATACCCCCAAAAGCAATCTAGATGTTTAATGCAATTCCCATCAAAATCCCAATGATATTCATTGAAGAGATTGAAAAATCAACTGTTAAATTTATTTGGAAACATAAGAGGCCATGAATAGCCAAGGCAATACTCAACAAAAAGAACAACACTGGAGATATCATAATAACCAACTTCAAACTATATTACAAAACAATAACAATAAAAACAGCATGGTACTGGCACAAAAGCAGACATGAAGACCATTGGAATAGAACAGAGGACCATGATATGAAGTCACACAACTATAGCCAACTTATCTTTGAAAAAGGGGCTAAAAATATATGATGGAGAAGACAGTGTGTTTAACAAAAACTTCTGGGAAAACTGATTAGCAGTCTGCATAAAACTGAAACTAGATCCATGTTTATCACCATATACCAATATTAACTCAAAATGGATCAAGGATCTTAATGTCAAACCCCAAACTCTAAAGTTGGTACCAGAAATAATAGGAAACTTGGAACTAATAGGTATAGGCAGGGACTTTCTCAATGGAACCCCAGCAGCTCAGCAACTAAGAGAAAGCATAGAAAATAGGACTTCCTAAAACTAAAAAGCTTCTGCTCAACATAAGAAAGGTCTCTAAACTGAAGAGAACACCCACAGTGGGAGAAAATATTTTGCCAGCTACACATCAAAGGACTGATAACCAGAATATATAGGGAAGTCAAAAAACTAAATTCTCCCAAATTATGAACCAATAAAAAAATGTGCAAGTGAACTAAACAGAACTTTCTCAAAAGAAGAAGTTCAAATGTCCAAAAAGCACACGAAAAAATGCTCACCATGTCTAGCCATAAAGAAATGCAAATTAAAACCACACTAATATTCCACTTCATCCCTGTTAGAATAGCCATCATTAGCAACACCACTAACAATAGGTGTTGGTGAGGATGTGGGGAAAAAGGAACACTTGTACACTGCTGGTGGAATGTAAACTACTATAAGCACTCTGGAAAAAAATTTGGAGGCTTCTTAAAAATCTAAACATACATCTACCATATGATCCAGGCAATACCACTCTTGGGGATATACCCAAAAGAATGTGACACAGGTTACTCCAGAGGCACTTGCACACTCATGTTTATTGCAGCACTATTCACAAATAGCCAAGTTATGGAAACAACAAGATGCCCCCCCTACTGACGAATGACTAAGGAATGTGATATTTATACACAATGTAATTTTATGCAGCCATGAGAAGAATGAATCTTACCATTCGCAAGTAAATAAATGGAACTGGAGAAAATCATTCTGAGTGAGGTTAGCCTGGCCCAAAAGATCAAAAATCATATGTTCTCCATCATATGCGGACATTAGATCAAGTTTAAACACAACAAGGGATTGGACTATGACATATAATGAAGGGGAGCACACAAGGGAGGTGCACACAAGGGAGGTATAAGGATAGGTAAGACACCCAAAAACTAGATAGCATTTGTTCCCAATGCAGAGAAACTAATGCAGATACGTTAAAATGACAGAGGCCAACAGGAGAAAGAGACCAGGAACTAGAGAAAAGGTTAGTCTGATAAGAATTAATTTAGAAGGTAATACACAGGTACAGGAAAGCAATGCAAGTCAACTTCCTGTATAGCTATCCTTAGCTCAACTAGCAAAAACCCTTGGTCCTTCCTATATTGCTTATACTCTCTGTTCAACAAAATTAGAGATAAGGGCAAAATAGTTTTTGCCTGGTAGTGAGGGGTATAGGGGAGAGGAAGGGGTGGGGTAGGTAAAGGAGGGCGGGGAAGGGGAAGAAATGACCCAAACATTGTATGCACGTATGAAGAAAAAAAAAAAGAAAAGACAAAGACCTGAATGTGTTCCCTAGCAAATAGCTTATCTAATGCAATTTTGGATAGCAAGAGACAATCTGTAGGATGTTCAGAATTTTAGTTCAGAGAGGGATTCAAAAATTCAGATGAGGATCTGGAAACTAGACAACTTTGTGACACAAACTACAGCTGTAAATCAAAAAAGAATGATTGATTTTTTTAAGCATAAAAATATTTCATGTTATTGTTCTGGAGTACTATAAAAACTGCTTTCTCCAGCAGATGTTATAAAACCTGGTGTGGTCATACACTCTTCTCAGAGGCTGATGTGTGATGATATCTTGAGACCAGGACTTCAAGGACAGCCTAGAAAACATAAGTAGACCTCATTTAAAAAATAAACAAAACAAAATTCATATACATGCTTTTAATATGCCTCCCAGCTAAATATTCATCAGAATATATATCAGCTATGTGAACTCGAAAAGAGATGGGGATTTCTGCTTTAGTTACACTGCTTAGAACCTTTACCAAATCATTTTTCCAGGTCTTTTTTCTCATATCTGTAAAATGGAGGATGCTCTGAAATATAGCTACAGACATGTTGCACAACTTCATGTGTAAGTATCTTATTTGATTGATTGATTGATTGATTTTTTGACAGTGTTTATAGCTTTATTTTCTGATCATTATTTTCATACCCATTTTACATATTCTAGATGCCTAGTATACAAAGTCCCCCTTGGCACCTACATTCTGCACTCCTGGTTTGAAAATTCCTTCTACAAAGAACAGCACAGCTTTGGTAATGTTCGCTCTAATCTTTCTCCTTGTGACTCAGATACACCACTACTTCTAGACTCACACAGTCTTACCTAAAAAAACTTAGATAAATTAGCTCTGAGGAGTGTATTTACAATACATTCTGGAAGGCAATTTAGCACCATAGGTCAAGAGCTTTAAATTTTTTTCATAGCCCTTAACCATATCAAAGTTTGTTCAAGGTAAATTGGGAGAGAGCTTTAAAACAATTCACAAGGAGAACCATGAAAACACTGGAGACATGTAAATACCAGAGGGAAAGAAACAGGATGCAGCACGGCATATCCAGAATTCTGGTGTTATGTAACTGCCATGTTTTCAAAAACAGATGAGAGCAGACAAAAAATGTTCTCAAGAAATTTGTAATTATGAAAAATTAAGTAGTACACACGTACTTATACATACACGTCTATTTTAAGAAAAAAGAAGCTGGGTGACAGATTTATGGGCAACTCAATACCTTTTTCCTTCCCTCCAAATTTTTCTGGTTAACAAATTTAACATCAAAACCATTATCACTCTTTAGAATCAGGATGAACACTTAAACCAGTACTGTATTGGGGTGTCCAATAGAACTGTCTGTAATGAAAATGTCCTTTAGTCTGCAGTGCTCAGTATGGTAACCACTACATGTATTTATTGAGCATCAAGATGAGGCTAGTACATCTAAGGAACTAATTTTTAATTTCTTAAATTTTTTTTAAGTTTTGAATAGCCTCATGTGCCTTGTGCTAGTATGTTTGACAGTTGCAGCTGTAGACAGACACTGCCTTGTTATCAATTGCAGTATGACGTATCCACTTGCCGTACTTCCATTTGCAGTTAACTTCCTTTATGAGTCTGTTCATGTGGAAGACACCCTACTGATGTGGCACCCTAGCCCGTATCTATTTTTATTAACTCTGACCTCAGGAAACAGAGTGACTTACCCAAGCAGTCAACTTGGCATGAGTGAGCCGTGTGCTAAGCTTACCTCACATGGGCTCTCTTCCTCTTGAGAGTGGGTCTGCCTGTGGAGACACGTGGAGACACTTTGCTCATCCATGCTGACTCTCATCTGACCCAGCCTAGTGTTGCTGAGATGGGTGGGTAGTCCACCAAAAGCTGGGGGCTGGTTTAGTCAGCGTTCTATTTTCTCACACCCAGCTGTTAGTAATGAACATGGTGCTTTGTTCTCCATATAACATTTCTTTGTTTTTCTTGATTTTGTTTAGAATTTGGTCAAGGAAGTAGGAGTCACTTGGGGCTTACACACTCCCACAGAACTAACAATTTTTCCTTGATATTATTTACCACCATAATTCAACCATATCTTTTTATTCTGTAGGTATCCACAAATTTTCCATTACCAGAAACAAACATTTCAGCAAGTGATTTGGAAGTTAAAGATTGTACTTCATTAGTTTTAAGTTCAGATGAGTGCTTTGAGAATTTTACAGATCCTTCTTCTCCTACAATTTCTTCTTATGAAGATCTGCTCAGAACACCTACACCTCCAGAAGTAACAGTAATTCCAGAAGACATACTCCAGGTCATTTTTCCAGGCTGTTTTATTTTTAGTATTCTTACTGTCTTACTTATCATCAGAATAATGTGCTTGTTTTGGTATTGAGAAAATCTAAGCTCTAGACTGTTGCACCCTTCCAAAGCCATGCAGCTGAGGCTGTCCTGAACTGATCACTAGCTAACAACTTCTCAAATATTTGGTGATATTATCCTAAGTCCTATCACCCTAAATTTGCATTTTCTCTTTAACTCCATGTTCTGAAATGTATTCTTATTTCCAGTCATTGTCCATCTGTGGTTGCCATGTTGACTATTGTTCCATCGGAAACCAAAAATGTCATTTACCCTAAAATTCTGCAGAGTAGGGTATCATTAATAACTTCTATCAGTTTTTCTTGAACTTGAGTCTTCTTGAACCTCAGTTAAGAACACTGATTTACTTATGTAAGAGTATCTGATTCTTTAGTATAACATCATTTACCACTAGTGTACTACTGAGTGGTACACTCTACTAAATTACTACTCTGATTCTTTGACTCTGTGATTGAGTTACAGTGTTTGCCAGTTATTGCGTAGGTACACATTCTAGAAATGTTCTTGGCTTATGGAGAGCCAAAAGAAAGATAAACCACTTGGGAAATACCTGTAATGCCAATAGGACTCATCCTTAGACATCAATAAATATCCTAAGATACCTGTCTTTTCTGCTATCCTGAGAGATAAAACCAATTGAGTGAGGAGGAACATCTGTCTGTACAGACATTTTTATGTAGAGTTGTCTTCACCATGGTCAATCGCTTTCTCATTCTCCTTTCCAAGGAAGGAAACCTTTTTTTCTTCCCTTTCCCCAGTTGTAAGGGTAGAACCAGGGCCTTATGTATGCCAGAGGAGTGCCTACCACTGAACTACATTCTAAGTCTCAAGGAAACCTTTTTTATGCATGGAAAAAATATTCCTAATATTTCAGATTCTCCTTTTATACTGTTTATAACTATGATTTTTGTTTTGAGCACTTCGTGTTTTTCCTGTATATTTTCTGTAACATCTGTAAATAATATGTTCTCAGGTCTGTTGCTACTTGTTTCCATACAGTTAACATATTTTAGAAGGCTTTAGAAATCAAACCTTCACATGCAATTTAAACTGCTACACTTTTTATTGCTGCTGAGTATCTATGCACCACTAAAGCAATTCTTAGTGTTTTAAACAACCTTAAATTTTCCATCACTCGTTTCTAAGCCTTTCACGTTATAACATTCATTTGACTTGATAAAAATGAATTTGCTTTGTTTTAGATTTTACCAAAATACAACTCCAACCTCTCTATGCCAATAGCAGTTAAAGCAGTTTCTTCCAGGAAAGGGTTCCTCAGACATGAAGGACAGAGCATCCGAGATGTTGCCAACAAGGAAAACTGGTGAAAGTGAGTAGGATACCAGGCTAAGAAAGTATAGGTGTTAGTTGAGGAGGATGACATTTGAAAAGTAATTGAAATGGTAGTGAAGTTTGTTTTTAATTGACATTTGCCAACTTAAAACAGCCTTTTACTACCTTTGATGTAGATCTTGGGGTCTTGAAGCTTAAATTCCCAAATATCAAGTTAGATGGCTTCAGTGGGAATCTATTTCCAACTTTTTGTAAGTGTAAAATATATAGTCACAGTGTTGTCATTTTGTTGATGGTTTTTATTTATCCTTGACATTTTTCATTTGTATCTTGTTTGCAGTAAGAGTACTAGATCCATCCATTGCAGAAACTGAACAGAACGAGATGGAAGCAGAACTGGACTTAATCGCATTCTCCTTTAAGAAGGCAATCCATTTTCAACAGGGACATGGACATTGATGTCATAGCACCTTTTTATGAGTTTTGATTTGGTTTAACTTCAGTCTTGTTGACATGTAGTTCAGTCATGAAGTTTTTGAAGATTATTATCTTCCCATTAACGTTAAGTTACCCTGCTCATTCCTAGTTTGTTTCTTTAGCCAGGCATGGTAGTACATGCGGTAATCACAGCACTTGGGAGGCTGAGCCACAAAGATCATGAGTTTGAGGACATCAGAGGCTGCATAACAAGACCGCCCTGAAGGAGGTGGTGCCCCATTCGGAAGGGTAATTGCTATATCCAAATAATCGCCTATTTGAAACTTCTGTGACTGAAGGGTCATGGAATCATAGGTCTCCTTTCTGCCAGACATGGTGCTGCCAATCTCCTTTACTTGATAGCCAGGTCTTTTAAGATCCATAAAAACAATTGCAAAATTGAAGTGTGTGCCCTTCTTTCTAGCTTCTGGGTAGACTTCTTTCACTAAACTAGTCAGTTCTTTTAAGGTTGCATCCATCCAAGTGTAGATATGCAGCTCGCTGGAAGGCACGTTTCCACGGGAGAACTCGTCCATTCGGTGGTGGCGGCCGTTATTGGTGGTGAAGACCCGCAGCAGCAGCGAGCAAGTCTTCTCGCGGTTGATTGGTTTCTCCGGCTCCTTTTTAATTTCCTCCTGGGTAACGCGCGATTCCACCGCCATCTTCCTACTTCGGCCCGCGAGACGCTCGCCCTGACCTCCAACCCTGGCAGCGAGCATGAGCAAGGAGTCTATTTGATTTAGAATATCAATAAATTTAGTTTTATCATGGAAAGAAATCTGGTAGTTGTTCCTGCTCAGAGGCTACCAGCTGCCCTCAGAAATGGTTAGTCGTAAATGCAGGTGGGCCTAGGCTGGATTCAATAATATACCTCCAGCTGGACTCTGGGGAATTTAATGAAGAGATGTTGATTGAGAAATAGTGTAGGGTCGAAGAAGATGCCCTTGACCTGGAACTTTACCTTTCAATCTTGAAGTTGGTATTGGGCCCACTCTGAACAACCTCCCTGAGTGTGTATCACACAAGCCCTGCATTAAAATTTCCTCTTTTTGTGCAAGACAGATGGTAGGTATTGCAATATTGAGTTCAAAGAAATCTGAACTTTCAAGGTCACTGTCTGGTAGCTGGAGACTTCCCCATTTCAGAGCTCTGAATGCCCAGGTAGTCTTGTGATTCTCTTTCAGCTCCTAGGACTCTGTAGAAAAAAATATCCCTGGCTCATCATTGTGGAGATGCAGTGTGGAGAAGAGGATGATCTCACGCAGGGGCTTTAGTATATACTTTAGGAACAAGAGACTTTGCAGTTGAATAAAAGAAGAGGTAAATCATTACCTTCTCAGTGTTCACATTAAACCTCAATAAAGCTTTTAAAAATGCCAAAATAAACTAGAAAGTTGTCTCTTATTCCTTCACAGATAAAGAAATTGGAAAATCAGCTTCACCTCTCTGTACCTCAGTTTACTCATTTGTAAAATGGAGACTTGCTGCCAAGAAAGTAGATTTATTTTGGAAAGGTCAGTAAGAAATCATATTGATAGCATGGATCCTTGATGAGAGGTGATAAGATGGGCACAACATATCTTTAATAGTGTTCCAACAGTTGAGAAAAACATCTAATCCAAGTTCAGAGACATTCTGCAAAATGCCTGACAGTTCCTACTGAAGACTGTCAAATGCATGAAAATCTAGGGAAGTTTAAGAAAATGTCACTGACTGAGTCAGCTAAGACAGAATGACTAAGTGCAATTCACTTAGTGGATTGGAATTTGAATCAGAGAAAGAACATTCTTGGAAAAAAACTAATGAAATTTTACTAAAGCTAGAGCTCAATAAATAATATTTGTTGATGTGTATTTGAATTAAAATGCACCAAAAGCAGATTATTTCACACACACATATTATATATAATATATATATACATATATATAATATACATATATAATTATTCCTACATCTACATATATAAACCTCAAATGCAAGGGACCAATAATATTCAGAATGTGTGATGTGAACATAATGCGATCAAATTATAAATTGATGAAGAAATAGCTTTTAAAAGTTACATAGATTTTTTAAAAAAATAGTATCTTTTATATAACACTTGTTTTAAAAAAAGAATACAGAGGAAAGTTAGGGCATACTTGGAATTAAAGGCAAATGAACATGTCACCAAGAAAAAGTTGTGGTACTCATTTAAATGGGTACTTAAATGTAAAATTACTGCACTACATGAAAGAAAAAAGAGTTTTGACACAAAAGTGACATTCATCTGAAATAGTTGTAAGGAGAGAGCCAGAGAAAAAAGACAAGAAGAAGAAAATAATAGAGTGGAGGAAAAAAAGGGAGAAAATAAAATATCATTGACTAATAAAACCAAAACCATTTTAAAAAAATATTACTAAAATAGATTAAGATCTAGAAGAATTAGTGATTAACATGGCAAAATCTACCAATTAAACTGAACTTGACAAATTTTTTTCTCTAAAGCATCAATAGTAAATATTGTACATAGTCTCTGGCCATTAATATAATTTGTTGGTGTCATAGGAAAACAACAGGCAGTTACTTAACTGCATGATTATGCTGTGTTCCAAAACATTTTTAAAGAACATTGAAATTTGAATTTTGGATAATTTTCACATGCCACAAAATATTCTCCTTTAGATTTTTTTCAAGTAATTGAAAAACAGTAAAATCTCTTTGTTCATTGCAAGCTGGAAAACGGGTGGATTACTTGAGTGGATTGGCTGCAGGTGGAGTTCAGGCTCAGTTGCTTGGTCAAGTTTCTTAAGTGTGGAAGAGTCAGTTAGTGCTTTTCTGAAAAGGGATCTTAATTAGCAATTGTAATTGCTGGGCACTGTGGGAAAACAAATCCCTGTGGACAGGAAGCCCACAGTGGCCTTGAATTCTGTCTGGCTCCAGAAACTAGTGAGATCAGGGTTACTGCCACTGGTTTCACTCTTCTCAGTTTGACCCCATGCCCTGCAGTAGTCACAAGGGGTGCCAGAGAGCAGGCATGTCCCAATGAGTCTTCCTGACCATTCAGGTTACAGAGCCCAGGAACACAACCAGCTTCTCAGCAGACAGCCAATCCCAATTCCTCATAGACCTTCATACAGAGAAACAAATGCCATTAGTTTGACAGTAGCTCTGACTTCTATGAAGACACTGTGACAAAGGACTTCACCTGCATACCTCCTTGAGGATACATCAACAGGTACTGTGGAAGTCACTGACCACCCACTGTCAGCAGGGAAGGAGACTCCATAGGGAAATAGGAGGAACTCCATGGTACTACAAGTCCCCCACTGTGTTAGTTGAACACTAGAGCATGGGCTGCCCCTGTACTGACCAAGTAGCCTTGCCAGTGCCTTGATCTTCTGAAGGGGGTGTTGGTCCTGTGCTTCCTCACACATTCCTTTTCCTAATCTCAGCTGGTGGCACAGTTGATTACAGCTGTCCCTCCACCCCAATGCAGGACATCCCTAGCTTAGGGCATGTCCAGCAACCTCTTGGAGAATGGGCCACCCTGGCTACTCATGCCTGGCCCACTAGTAGCCTTGAGCATTTAAAAACCATGAGCCAGTTTTGTTACTCCAGTCCCACTCCCATTGAAGAGTTCTGCATGTCTGGAATCCTTAAAGCTTTTAAAAGGTTTGAAACTCATTTATTGGCCCTCTTTCCCATATTGAAATGCCCTGTTTGTTTTATGCTTGCTTATTTAATGTCTATCTCCCTGGACTCTACTGCAGACCCTGGACCCATAATTAAGTCTTCTTGAGAGCCTAGTTTGATTTGGATAGTGCTCAGTTGAAGTGATATTTTGTTTTACCAGTTTAAGGTACAATGGATTGATAGATTTGGGTGAAAGGAAATATGTTCTCTTCTGTGGTTAAGTATGAGATACTTAATCATATTCACAATGGCCATGTTAGGTAGACAGTTGGCTATAAAATATTTTAGAATGTGTAAATCATCCTACTCTTGTTCTCTAGTCATGTCAAAAATGTGAATTTCACCTTCCTGGTCTATCCCAAGCACTTAAAAGTTTCAGCACACATCTGAAAGCTAAGCATAAGGGACCTATAAAACCCACCTAGGTTGTTTCTTTGTTTCTTGTTCTGTCTCCTTTGCTGCAGTACAACATTGCTGTTGAGTTTCCTGAGAGAATCTGAATGAGTATAGTAAATCAAAATGAACTGTTGATTGAAACAATTCTGGAGACCTCTATATTTTTTCCTTAAACAACGGAGAAATTGATGGTAGTTTTGCCACGAATTCAAGTTCATTCCTGGCCACTTCGAAAGAGAGACAGAGAAAAAGATTTATCCTGAAAGATAGCAAACCAAAGAAGATGGAGATTATTTCCAACAAAGACTAACTTGTCAGAAGGTGCTGGCAGAAGGCTGTGTAGGAAGTTGTGAGTAGGCATACCAGATAGACTGCCACCAATATAGTTATAAATTTTGGGTGGTCTGCTTTTCTGATGTGAACTCTGCTGTTACCTGTAGTTCACTGATGTTATCCGTTTTGTGAACCTAAAGAAAAGTTGCTGATTAGAAAGCCACCACTGTGTGTGTTTAACTTTTTCCTCAGGAATATTTAATGCTGCAGTTGATCATTACACTATAAAAGGCAACTGTCTTCTGGAAAACAGAGGAAGACAACTGCCCCTGGAGAACAAGGAAAGATACTGAAAGGTAATTGTCACTGTACAAGCTAGTATCATGTGACTTTTCACAGAACAGTTGTAACTTGTTAGGTGGCTTCCGAGGTATTATCTACAATAAAACTAGTGGGAAACTAATAATAGAATCCCCAGCTGTGTGTCCTCAAAATTTATAATTTTTCTAAGTCAAATACATTAGAACTAGAGGATTTATTTAAGTTTTGCCTTGGATGGAATGGTGGAGTGATATACCTGCTTTCTGAAAGAAATAAAGTAAAGCACCATATATATTAAGTCATGTGAAACTGACTTCTTTAATCATGTTATAAGGCTAAGATGCTTTGACACATACCCTGCAATTTTAGGTAATGCATTATACTGTTTCATGTAGGGAAATATGTATTTGATAAAATAAGCTTAATGTTTTCATTTCAATACTCTTTTTCTTAAAGACTTTTTCCTGAGATGAGGAAAATGATTTGTCTTAAAAGACAGCAAACCAAAGAAAATGGAGACTACATCCAACTAGGGCTAACTTCTCTAAAGGTGGCAGGCACAAGGCTTGTGTAGGAAGCTGTGAGTAGGCATATCAGATTTCATAGATTGATTACATATGCAGAAATAGGGGAGGTCATATCAATTCATTTCAATACCAGAAAGTGAGGTCATAAGTAAATTCTATGCCCACCATTTAGTTAATACAACTTTATAAGACCCATTGATTATATTAGTCAACTATTATAAGTTATCTGAAAACTTACTTGTTTAGTGAAATTTTTTATTATCCCATAGTTTCTGAAGGTATTGAATTCAAAAGTGGCTTATCTGGCTGGTTCTGATTCGATTCCACATGAACTTGCAGTTGCCTTTTGGCGTCATTGGCTGCCTCAGAAGGCTTGACTAGGGCTGAGCAGTCTACTAATTCAAAGCTCACTCATTTGCTGTTCCTCAGTGGACTCATTTCCTCACTGGGTCTCTTCCACATGCTCATAAATCACAACTGACTTCCCAAAGAATGAATGAATCAAGAGATCTTGATTCATATTTGTT